ACGTTTACTCTGTACTTCTCCTTGCTACTGCCATGTGAAGAAAGACACGTTTGCTTCCCCTTCTGCCATGGCTTCAGAGGGGACAAGTCCCAATTTAAGTTTCCTGATGCTTCTCCAGCCATGATGAACTGTGAGTCAATCAAACGTCTTTCCTTTATAAATTACCCAGTCTTTGGTATGTCTTTATTAGCCGCATAAGAACAAACTAATACAGTACATTGGTACCGGGAGTGGGGCACTGCTGTAAAGAGACCCAAAAATGTGGAAACAATTTTGTAACTGGGTAACAGGCAGAGGTTAGAACAGTTTGGAGGACCCAGAAGAAGACAGGAAAATGTTGGAAACTTTGGAAGCTCGGAGAGACCTGGAGGGCTCAGAAGATTGGAAAATGGGGGAAAGTTTGGAACTTCCTAGAGACTTGTTGAATGCCTTTTCCCAAAATGCTGACAGTGATATGGACAGTAAAGTCCAGGCTGAAGTGGTCTCAGATGGAGATGAGGAGCTTGTTGGGAACTTGAACAGACGTGATTCTTTTGTTATGCTTTAGCAAAGAGACTGGCAGCATTCTGCCCCAGCCTTAGAGATCTGTGGGGCTTTGAACTTAGGAGAGATGATTTAGGGTATCTGGCAGGAGAAATTTCTAAGTGGCAAAGCATTCAAGAGGAAGCAGAGCATAAAAGTATGGAAAATTTGCAGCCTGACAATGCAATAGAAAAGAAAAGCCCATTTCCTGTGGAGAAATTCAAGCCAGCTGCCGAAACTTGTGTAAGTAACAAGGAGTCCACTCTTAATTGCCAAGATGATGGGGAAAATGTCTCCAGGGCACATCAGAGACCTTCACAGCAGCCCCTCCTGTCATAAGCCTGGAGGCCTAGGAGGGACAAAAGTTTTCCTAGGCCAGGTCCAGATCGCTCCTGCTGTGTGCAGCCTTGGGACTTGATGTCCTGGGTACAATCTACTCCAACCAGGACTAGAAGAGGCCAAGATGGAGCTCAGGCCATGGCTTCAGAGGGGACAAGTCCCAAGCCTTGACAGCTTCTGTGTGATGTTATGCCTGTAGGTGCAGAGAAATCAAGAATTGAGGTTTGGGAACCACAACCTAGATTTCAGAGGATGTATGAAAACACCTGATGTCCAGGAAGAAGTTTGCTGCAAGGATGGAACCCTCATGGAGAACCTTTGCTAGGGCAGTGCAGAAGGAAAATGTGGGGTTAGAGCCCCCATGCAGAGTCCTCAGTGGGGTACTGCCTACTGGAGCTGCAAGAAAAGGGCCACTTTTCTCCAGACCCCAGAATAGTAGATCCATCAACAGCTTGCATCATGTACCTGGAAAAGCAACAGATACTCAATGCTAGCCCATGAAAGCAGTCAAGAGGGGGGATATCCCCTGAAAAACCATGAAGGTGGAGCTTCCCCATCACCATGTGACTGAAGATCTCTGACATGCCCTGGAGACATTTTCCCCATCATCTTGGTGATTAAGATTGGGCTCCTTATTACTTATGCAAATTTTGGCAGCTGGCTTGAATTTATCCCCAGGAAATGGGGTTTTCTTTTCTGTTGCATTGTCAGGTTGCAAATTTTCCATACTTTTATGCTCTGCTTCCTCTTGCATGCTTTGTTCTTCATCTCCATCTGAGACCACCTCAGCCTGGACTTTACTGTCCATATCACTGTCAGCATTTTGAAAAAAGGCGTTCAACAAATACTTAGGAAGTTCTAAACTTTCCCCCATTTTCCTATCTTCTGAGCCTCTAAGTGTCTCAGATGTTCCAAAGTTCCCAACATTTTCCTGTCTTCTTATGAGCCCTCCAAGCTGTTACAACCTCTGCCTTTTACCTAGTTCCAAAGTTGCTTCCACATTTTTGGGGATTTTTACAGCAGTAGCTCACTCTTCTGGTACCAATTTTCTGTACCTGCCCATTGTCATACTGCTATGAAGACATACCAAAGACTGGATAACTTATAAAGAAAAGAGTTTAATGGACTCACCTTTCCATATGGCTGGGGGAGGCATCACTATTATGGTGGAAGACAAAGAAGGAGCAAAGTCACATCCTACATGGCAGCAAGCAAGAGCACCTGTGCGAGGGATCTGCCCTTTATAAAATCATCAAATCTGGTGGTTTTATAAGGGGATTCTCCACCTCATTCTGTACTTTTACTTGCTTCTGCCCTGTGAAAAGTGAAAAAGGACATGATTGCTTCACCTTCTGCCTTGATTTCAGTTTCCTGGGGCCCCCCCAACCATGCTGAACTGTGAGTCAATTAAACCTTTTTCCCTTATAAATTACCTAGTCTGTGGTATGTCTTTATTAGCATGAGAATGGACTAATATATTCTCCCAAATGTCTTCTATTACATCATTTCCTTTTACCACGTTAGGTCTCATACTTTATTCTAAATGAAGCCATTTCTTTGCCCCTTTAACCTAACGCCTTCATTTGAGAATAGACTGTACTCTTTGAGAAGATGGTTTTAAAATCTTTGTTGAAGTATTTTAGAGAGAAAGACTTTTCTCATGTCAGAGAGGAAATAACTTACCTGCCTTCATGTCTTACTGCAAATAACAGCAGGTAACTTATCTATACAGACAAAATTAGTGGTATACAATGTGGAATGTTCATGGCAATACCCACTACAGGTGGAATAAACAATGACATCCAGAAGAAACACACTAACAGTATATCTATTATTAGTAGATACATAAAGAAATACTGGAGGCTGGGTAATTTACAAAGAAATACTTTAAAGAAATACCTGAGGCTGGGTAATTTATAAAGAAAATGGATTTAATTGGCTCATGGCTCTGCAGGCTGTACAAGCATGTCTCCAGAATCAGTTTCTGGTGAGGGCATCAGGAAGTTTTTGGTCATGGTAGAAGATGAAGCAGGAGCAACATGTTACATGGTAAGAGCAGGAGCAAGAATGGGAAAGGAGATGCCACATACTTTTAAACAACCAAATCTCGTGTGAACCCTGAGTGAGAACTCACTCATTAACAAGAGAGTGGTGCTAAGCCATTCATGAGATATCAACCCCCGTGATCCAAATATTTTCCATCAGCTCACATCTCCAACTGTGGGGATTACATTTCAACATGAGACTTGGAGGGGACAAACATCCAAACCATATCAATCGCAAATAAACTATGGCATTAAACAAAAAGTTCTGCTTGACTTTCACCGCTGAATCAATGCTAGAGACAAGGCTGACCCTGCTCAAAGTGCTCAGGTGACTGAATTTGTGTTCGTTTTTCTATGACCTTTTGTCAGTGCCTCCAAAGTGCCCACTGCCCTCAGGCTTCCTGCTCATTGCCCAGGAAGATTTGCTGTCATGCCCTCTATTAGTAGCAACACTCTAAGCCATTAAATTGCAAATGCTTTGATAGTGCTCCAAAATAATATACTTTAAAACTTTGTTCAGTATTTATGTGGTGAAGAGGCTAAGGGATGCCCAGGGGAAAGGTAGAGAAGTAGAGAAGGAAAATCCCTATTTGTGGAGTTGAGTTGTTTTCCATTATGGACCCAGAGAATGTAGATCTAATCCATTTTTTTTTAAATCCCCGCTAAAACGCAGAGGTTTGAGGTGACACTAAAGTGATAAATTTTGGGATTTCAAGCTTGATCAAGGAAGAGACAGGATTGTTAAAGGCAGCACTGCTCAAGCTTTATTGGTTAGTGAGGCTGTATGAGATTCGAAGTCTCTCCTAGCAAGAGACTTTCTAGAGACTACAACTCCAAGCTACCATCCAGGAAAGAAGTAGGACAAAAAACTCCCATGGGAGAAGGGGAAATTTGAGAAGGAGCTTATGTTGCTAGGTGATGTCATTCAGCAACAAGGTGGGGAGGCACTGGTAGGAGAGTTCCAAGGGCAATAGCATTTTGAGGTCTTATAGCTACAGTGTTTGTCTGATCCATTATTGTCAGATGTTAGGTGACATTTCGCAGGTACACAAAATAGGCAGGATCTAAATGGCTAAAATATGTTTATTGGGACTATATTTAAACCACTTGGATTGTAAGGGTTAGAATTTGGCACCACCTGATTTTGGATTAATCATCTTAGCCTAAGGTGAAGTAAACAGCAAGGGACCCACTTTAGGTCAATACACAGAAGCCATCTTTAATCCATTTACATGACATTGCCCTCCTAAGAATTCAGTTAGGAACAGGTTCCTTGAAGTAGTATCTCTTCCCTGCCCTTACCCTCTACAAGAAATCCCAGGGAGCTTTAAAATTAGTCTTTCCAAGCACATGGCAATATTGTTTTACAAAAAGTACTGGTAAGGTCATTTTCCCACAGTGATGTTCTGAGGTCTCATAGGGTTATATTCTAGGCAGTCTTTATCTCACCACTTACTCCAGCTTTGAACGGATTCTCTCATCCCCGTTAACATCTCCCCAAGGTCTCGCTGGTTGATGACTGCTACAATGTATTATGAATCATTGCTGGGATAAGAAAGGTAAGACATCCTAGAAGTCTGGCATTTGTAAGCAGAACAGTTTTAGAGAGGAGTTAAAAACAAACAAACAGAGTTTATAGGGGTACCTATTTAGTTAATGAAGACCAGAACTTTGCAAATGGAGCTATGACTGTGCCAACACATCCATAAAAACACACATTTATATTTTACTTGGCAAGAGGGAGAGGGCGGCTATAGGCAGGAAAAAATTATATTATAAATTATATGTAAAAATATTATGTAATATAGAAATATGAAGGGAAATGTGATATACTATATAGTTCAGAGGTTTAATATATATATTTGAGTATCAAGATTGTGGTGCATCTAATCAGAATAATATGTTAAACTATTGAGGATGTTTTTTGATATGATTTGGCTGTGTACCCACCCAAATCTCACCATGGATTATAATAGTCTCCATGTGTCAAGGGTGGGGCCAGGTGGAGATCATTGAATCATGGGGGCAGTTTCCCCCGTAACTACACTGTTCTCATGGTAGTGAATAAGCCTCACCAGATCTAATGGTTTTATAAATAGGAGTTCCCCTGCACAAGCTCTCTTGCCTGCTGCTAAGTAACACGTGACTTTGTTCCTCATTCGCCTTCCACCATGATTGTGAGGTCTCCCCAGCCATGTATAACTGTGAGTCACTTAAACCTCTTGCCTTTACAAATTACCCAGTCTTGGGTTTGTCTTTATTAGCAGTGTGAGAGCAGACTAATACACTTTTTAATCAAATGAAAAAAAATTATTGATTTTTAAGAAAGAAGTACAATCTGGTTTCACAGCTTGATTCTACTCTTAGAGAACAATAGCAGAAGAGTTTGAAACACCATTCATATATCTAAACAGCTTTTTGTAGCACAAAAGTACACCATCTTTTGAAGCTGAAAAGTTATGGCAGAAAAGTAATACCATTGGCATTATCATTTTGATAACCACTGACACCAGCATCTTGATGTGTGAAGGAAACCATTTGTTCATCAGTCAAATGATTTTGTGAGAATCATACTTCTGTGACCTTGGACAAGTCATTTGTGTGACCTTAGAAAGGGGGTCCTGATCCAGACCCCAAGAAAGGGTTCTTGGATTGCGCAAAAGAATTTGAGGTGAACCCGCAGGGTAAAGTAAAGCAAGTTCATTAAGAAAATGAAGGAATAAAGAGCGACTACTCCATAGGCAGAGCAGCCCCAAGGGCTGCCGGTTGCCCATATTTTGTGGCTATGGTTATTTCTTGATTACATGGTAAACAAGGGGTGGATTATACATGAGTTTTCTGGCAAAGGTGTGGCTAATTACCAGAACTAAGTGTTCCTTCCCTTTTTAGACTATATTTGGTAACCTCCTGCGATTGTCATGGCATTTGTAGATTGTCATGGCACTGGTGGGGTGCCTTTTAGTATGCTAATGTTGTATGATTAGCATGTCATGAGCGGTGAGATTGACCAGAGGTCACTTATATGGCCATCTTGCTTTTGGTGGGTTTGGGCAGCAGTTTCTTTACTGCAGCCTGTTGTGTTAGCAAGGTCTTTATGACCTGTGTCTTGTGCCAACCTCCTGTCTTATCCTGTGACTTAGAATGCCTATACTGGGAATGTAGGCCAGAAGGTCTCGGCCTTATTTTATTTAGCCCCTGTTCAACAGGAAGTTGCTCTGGTTCAAACGCCTCTAACAACTTGTAAACCAAAAAGTATCTGACACGGATCTCAATCAATTTAGAAGTTTATTTTGCCAAAGTTAAGTACAATGGCCAGAAGAAATAAACAAGAGATCACAGAAACAGTCTGTGGTCTATGCCTTTCTTCAAAGATAATTTTGAGGGCTTTAATATTTAAAGGAGAAAAGTGGGGTGGAGGGGAAAGAGGGAGGGTATGGTAATCCACATGTTGCAAGAGAAAAGAAACAGGTAGGGGAATAGTCAGTTATATATTAGTCTTATACTCAATATATCCGCACTTTACGTAAGATAAGGTGAACCTATGGAGATATTTAGCCTTTTATCTGTAGCTGTCTGGTGAGGAACAAAAGGAAAGGCATTTTCTTGCATGACTCAGCTTTCAGCTTAATTTGTTTCTTTTGGCATAATGCATTGGGGTCCCATGTTTTTATTTTCCTTTCATACACTTAATGTCTCTGGAAGCTTGGCTTCTTCACCTAAAGAAGAGACGGTTGCTTATAATAGAAACTATCCTCAAAGGACTATTAGGATTAAATGAGATAATGCATGAAAAAAGATCTGGCAAAATTTTTGGCAGAGAGAGCACTATAAACATTAACTCTTATATTTGAGTAAATAGGAATATAATGTACAAACTCAAAGTTATGCCAGTTTCTAGAAGCCTCAGGGAGTTCTATTACAGTGATGTGTACAGAAGCCAACAAGTTGGCGATTCTATGAAGACAGAATTTCCTGATGGCCTTGTTGGGACTCAGAAAATAGTATTTTCAAGTATGACACTTTGACAGGCAGAGTACTTTGAACTAAAGAAGACTGGAAGAGTTCAGAAGCGTCCTCAGAACCAACGTCTCTCCAAACTTCTCTGTCATTCCTCTTTTCTTCTGAAGCACAGGGAGGAACTTTCTTTGTAGTTCCTTCATCTGGCTATAGGTGGAAGAAATGCAATTGTCATGAGTCTCTACCCTAGGAATCCATCACCCAAAAAGATTACTACCGTATCACAGAAAGAGACTGAAATTTGATACCACCTAGACTATCACAGGCACCTGTTCTTTGGGGGACCCATTCATTTGTCTCCAAAAGTATTTACTCTCCCTTAAATTGTCTGCATCTCCCCTCCAGTCTCCCCTGTAAAAAATGCATACAGCTTTTAGGTCTCACTGGCTTTGAGGTACACACTTTCCTGTCCTGTGATGATGTCCCATGCATGTAATTAATTTGTATGCTTTTTCTGTTGTTAATCTGTTTACTGTCCGTTTATTTTACAGACTTGATTATCGACTTCAGAGGGGAGATAGAGAAAGGCTTTTTTTTCTCCCCTGCAGTCCATACTACACTCATACCACTCATGAAGAAATTATGTTTCTCTATTTCTTTAGTAATAGGAATTTGCAATCAAAGAGGCTCAGAACAGTCTGGACATGGTGGCTCATGCCTGTAATTCAGGCACTTTGAATGATCAAGGAGGCTGAATCACCTGAGGCCAGGAATTCAAGACCAACCTGGCTAACATCATAAAACCCTGTTTCTACTAAAAATACAGAAATTAGCTGGGTGTGGTGGAGCATGTCTATAGTCTAGCTGCTACAGAGGCTGAGACAGGAGAATCACTTGAACCCAGGAGGCGGAGATTGCAGTGAGCAGAGAAAGTGCCATTGTACTCCAGCTTGGGCAACAGAGCAAGGCTCTGTCTCAAAGAAAGAAAGAAAAAAAAACAAAGAAAAAACAAAAAGACTCAGAAAAAATCATTGAAGCTACTATTAATATAAAAATCCAAAGAATCCACATCACATTTTCTGAGTACTCAGTTAAAAAAAAAACTGGTCACAAAAAGCAATGTAGGGTTATTGGTTATTATCTGATCATATGCTATGAACACATCTTTAGAACAAAAGATTTTTTAAAATTTTTATTTCAAATACCAAGTATTTTTTCAATTTTCTAATTTATAATCAAATTTTCTAAGTCAAATTGGGAGTAATTTTATTAAAAGAAGTTGTTTAGCATTTTCTAAAGTGGACAAATCAGTTGGTGAAATAAATTTTTGAATAAAACTGCTAAGCCAGGCGCGGTGGCTCACGCCTGTAATCCCAGCACTTTGGGAGGCCGAGGCGGGTGGATCACGAGGTCAAGAGATTGAGACTATCCTGGTCCACATGGTGAAACCCCGTCTCTACTAAAAATACAAAAAATTAGCTGGGCATGGTGGTGCGTGCCTGTAATCCCAGCTACTCAGGAGGCTGAGGCAGGAGAATTGCCTGAACCCGGGAGGCGGAGGTTGTGGTGAGCCGAGATCACGCCATTGCACTCCAGCCTGGGCAAAAAGAGCAAAACTCTGTCTCAAAAAAAAAAAAAAAAAAAAAAGAAAAAAAACTCAAAAAAAAAAAAAAAAAAAAAAAACTGCTAAAAAAGAAAGAAGTAATTTTGTTATTTGCCAATTTAAAAGAAAATATAAAAATAATTAATTTACTTTCTTGTTTTAATGAACAGTTAGATATGTTTGTGTATGTGTATATGAGTATATAACTTAGTAATTATTTTAATGTTGTTCAGTATAATTTGTAACTCTTGTGCTAAAGAGAATTAAACAGTCAGTAGTCTATCTTATTTCCTATTAAATGCAATGCACTGTGGTTCACTGAATGACAATTAATTAAAACAATTGCTCAATTGGCATGTTTTAGCTTCCAGTAAGATACGCAAATTAAGTATAATGTGCTATCTCATTAATTAATATTATAAATAAGGAACTTTTTTCCCTCAGTTCACTTAATAATGGAAAGTATATTATCTATATTTTTGCCAGACTGTGCAAAAATTCTATATGTTCATGCATATGTGTATTTTTTCATATCTAAAATAATATATGTAAAATGTTTTATTTTTCTGTGTTCATATATTTTAAGCCAATTTTATTTAAATTTCTTGCATGCATCCTTTATTTTATTTTTATTATACTATAAATCCTGGGATGCGTGTGCAGAATGCGCAAGTTTGTTACATAGGTATACATGTACCATGGTGTTTTGCTGCATCCATCAACCTGTCATCTACATCAGGTATTTCTCCTAATGCTTTCCCTCCCATATCCCTCCACCCCCCCAAACAGGCCCCAGTGTGTAACATCCCACTCCCTGTGTCCATGTGTTCTCATTGTCCAACACCCATTTATGAGTGAGAACGTGCAGTGTTTGGTTTTCTGTTCTTGCGTTAGTTTGCTGAGTATTGTGGTTTCTAGCTTCATTGATGTCCCTGCAAAGGACATGAACTCATCCTTTTTTATGGCTGCATAGTATTCCGTGGTGTATATGTGCCACATTTTCTTTGTCCAGTCTATCATTGATGGGCATTTGGGTTGAGTCGAAGTCTTTGTTATTGTGAACAGTGCTGCAGTAAACACACATGTGCATGTGTCTTTATAGGATAATGATTTGTAATCCTTTGGGTATATACCCAGTAATGGGATTGCTGGATCAAGTAGTATTTCTAGTTCTAGCTCCTTGAGGAATTGCCACACTGTCTTTACAACGGTTAAACTAATTTACATTTCCATCAACAGTGTAAAAGCATTACTATTTCTCCACATCCTCTCCAGAATCTGTTGTTTCCTGACTTTTTAATGATCGCCATTCTAACTAGCGTGAGATGGTATCTCATTGTGGTATTGATTTGCATTTCTCTAATGACCAGTGATGATGAGCTTTTTTTCATATGTTTGTTGGCTGCATAAATGTCGTCTTTTGAGAAGTGTCTGTTGATGTCCTTCACCACTTTTTGATGGGGTTGTTTGTTTTTTTCCTTGTAAATTTGTTTAAGTTCTTTGTAGATTCTAGATATTGGCCCTTTGTCAGATGGGTAGACTGCATAAATTTTCTTCCATTCTGTAGGTTGCCTGTTCACTCTGATGATAGTTTCTTTTGCTGTGCAGAAGCTCTTTAGTTT